CCAACATACTGAAACTAAGATTATTATACATTCATACATTTGAATAAATAAATGAAATTATGTATTTGTAATTACTCAAGTATAATAAAGGACATCTAAGAAATATACTTTTTGTTGCTCTAATTATTTTATATTTATAAAAAAAGTGAACACAGTTTAAATGTATGTTCACTAAATCCTTTACCATTTATGCTACAAATTTACCATGCACTATAAAATTAGGAAAAAATAATAAAATTCATTCCTTTTCCTTAATCATCGCAATCTGATTTATAATAGGGAATCCCTTTATAATATATAGGCTTTTAAATGTTCCCAACCTTATAGGCAACTAGTATACTTATCTGCGCTTATCGCAGTTAAAAGAAAAATATAATACAATAGAAGCAATGCCCCAATTACTACAGACTAATTAAATTATAGGGAAGCCAAAAAAATATATCAGATTTTTCAGAGATTTGTAGGCTTTTCAAACATAATTTTAATTAAAAAAATGAGATAAAAAGGTAAAAGGAAAGAAAAAAGTGAAGTACATTTCCTTGCCTAAGAGAGGTATCACTTCATGCAATATGGTGAAGTTGTGCGCAAAGTAGACAAATAATCATGGGATATAATAAGGTTATTAAGCACATTAAATCAAGTGTCAATAAAAATTGTTGGAACAACACATACTTTCAGCAATTAGTTTATTGACCGAATAATTCAAAACACAGCCTTAACGAATATTAAAAGAGGAATGGACTATTAAATTTCTTTTTCATGGTTTGATATATGCTTCGTGTTTGACACTCAGATTAGGATTAAATTCATATTTAATTTGTGTGAGAAGTTTCATATTAAAGGGTAAAACGCTCTCTAACAAAAAATACTTTACTTTTAGTGATGATGAAAGAGTACATAATATCATGAATTCTTATGGCTGGATTTATATACAATCTTATGGTCATGCAAAAATTAGAAAAAATAAAATGAACTTTATCCTTTTGGAGTCTTGTATCAACTTTATGTATGTGTTAATGAAAAATGATCGATTATGGTCTTTAATTTTATGAATGAACTATGTATTACATTTATTTGATCACTTTCTGTTTTGATTCATTTTTTGAACAAGCCAAGATATCTAGTTTTGAACGAAATAAAGAGTGAGCCAGGGCAGGAGCTAATCTTCAAACACAGACGTACATATGTATAAAGTAGGTCAATATTAAACTTTTTTTTTATGGTTTTCTATATACTTTGTGTTTGACACTCAAGGTTAAATTCATATTTAATTTGTGCAAGAAGTTTCATATTAAAGGGTAAAACGCACTCTTACAAAGATTATTTTACTTTGGGTGATGATAAACGAGTACATAATATCACGAATTTTTGTAGCTGGATTTATATCTAATCTTATGGTTATGCAAAGATAAGAAAAATTAAATGAAAGATAAATAATTTCTGTTTGATGAAAACTTTATGACTGAAATTGTGTCCTTGGCTTGGCCCAACTTTAGACATTTTGACCAAATATTTTGCAACCCAATAGTGAAAACCACATCGAAAAACAAGTTGAAACCAACCTTTAATCACCTTTTCCCTTAAAGTTCAAGTTCTTGAAAAATCTTCAAATTTTGAAGTTCAAAACCAAGAATTTGATGTTTAAATCACAAATTAGTGATGAGAAATGAAGATTTAGGGTCACAATAGATACTCAAATAATTTATCTTGAAAAAACCCTTTGGAATCACCTTTACCGAGCTCCCAAAGTTCAAAGATGGTGAAATGGGGAGGAGACCCTTACTTTTGGACACAGTGGAACCATCAAAATACGGATCCGAGGTGTCCTTGACCCGAAACCCATGAAAATCGCAATAAATTAACTTTCATCCGAAAATATCAAACAGTCCTTGAAAACTCTTAAAATTCAACTAAGACCTCACCTAGGCCTATACTCATCCCCCAAATCCAATGGAATCTTCAGAATTCCAATCTGAACGTCCAAACTCCAAATATTGACCAAAGTTAACTCTTGACCTAATTTCACTTAAACTTCCAACTCAAGGGCTCAATTCCACAAAAAGATCCTAATACTAAAAATGACAACACTTCTTATAAGTTTTAATAAGATTGATAACAGATAACACAATGAAGACAATGTCTATTTTGCAACAGAAATGAAAGCAGGAGAATACAAGGAACTAAAAGTGAAAAAGATGACGGAGAGAAAAGCTTATGCAGAGAGTTATCTTAATTCTGTTGAAAAATAAATACATAAACATACATAAAAGAAACTGAAATAGATCATGGTCCTACTTTTAAGTCATGGTGCTAACCATGGTAACTACCTCCTAAAATAATTGAAAAGAGAAATACAGGAAACTTATATATAACTATTGTAGTCCTAAAGCAACTAACTAATACTCCTTTTTGCATTAAGAGCTGCAAATTCGAAATTGTTGCCTTAGGAACTCGAACTTGCTGACAAGAAGGGATTTCGCGGCTAGATGATCTTCAGATTTGTAGTAAACAAGAATCACTTCTCTTTTTTCTACACGTTCCTCAAGAACAAAATCTTGTTGTTGTAGTGTTTAGTCTTTCCATAGGACACCGAATTATGCGAAATAACTATTGCAGCTTGATTATCAACATGAATCTCAGTATTAACCTTTTGTTCCATATGCAAATTAGAAAATATTTTTCTCAGCCATAAGGTTTGATTTACTGCTCTCGTTGCTACAATAAATTCAACCTCTGTTGTGGATTGTTCCACAGTTTTCTGCTTTTGGGAACACCAAGAGAAAATCCCTGATCCTAGACTAAAGCAATATCCTGATGAACTTTTCAAGTAGTCAATGGGTCCAACCCAATCAGGGGCAGACCTAGGTTGTGTCCGGTCGAAAAATTACTTTATATATATAGGGCCTAATTCTGATTTTATGTGTACATATATTAAAATGAACCCCCTGAAAATAGGTGAGAAGCTTTAGCTCAATGGTTAAAGTGTTTAGCAGTGGCTTTTACACCGTGGGTTTGAATCCCATGCGCAGCAATCCCTCTTCTCTTATTTTTTTTATCCTTTTTAATGCATGGAATTGGGCTCAACTTTTGGGCTTGGATCATCTTCTCTTTTTCATTATTTTTTCTCTTTTATGTCAATTTTTTTTCTAATTTGTTTTTGTTTAAATTGATTAGGCACATTTTTTTTTGTTCTTCTTATATCTATTAGTCATTTTATTTCAACATAATTTTATGTACAACTCTTTAAAAATGATGAATTATATATATAAAGATAAAGTAGATGTAATTGAATGAAGAAACTAAAAATCGTCAATATCCTTTTAATAATATATATTTAATAGAATTAATGGAATTTCTTTTCTATTTTTTCAATTCTATTATAGAGAGATGGAAACTAAAGTTATTTGATTTGTTCGTCATTTTTTTTTCAACAAGTGATGACTAACCTAGTAAATTAAACTACATGAACTAAAAAAATTGACGATGCCATTTATTTATCTTCTGAATATGCATTATAATAATAGTAAATCTATACTTCACACTTTTAGAGAATCTTGATAATTTTTCTAGTAATATGTGTTTGAAAGGATACTAATTTAAAAAATTTTAAAATGCAAAATAAAGTAAAACATTACAAAATAAAAGTATAAAAAGTACAATTTTTTTAAAGAATGTTCAATGGAGCAGGGTAAACGTAGGAAGAAATGCTTAATGCAGCGCGATAAGGTAATATAAATTTAGCGGGTTAAGGTAAATATTTTTCTTCTCCATCTCGCTTCCTTTTTCATCCTTTAATTTTCACGTGTTTTAGGAATTAACTTATGTAATACACTGATCCACTATTTTTTTTTATAATCAACATAGCTTTGTTCCAATATCTTTGATTAGTTTGGTGTTAACTTTTATTAACCAATGAGATACCTTGTACAAAAAGCATGTCGGGGTTACTACGCTTACCGCGTACTTACATTACCACATGAGCTTCTTTTTTAAATTTCGAACCCATTGAGCTTAATTCCTGGATCCGCCACTAAACCCAATCGCTGTAAATTGATACAACTTTAAATTCTCACACTTGATGAATTTGACACCATAATCAACAGTACCCTTAATGTATCTTATAATTCTTTTTCTGCTCGCAAATGCATTTCAGTAGCAGAATGCATAAATCTAAGTAAAAGACTTACAACAAATAGAATATCCGACCTTGTAGCAGTGAGATACATCAAACATCTAATCAAGCTTCTGAACTTTCCTTCATCAATTTTATTAGTTCCATCCTCTTTGCTTAACTTCTCCTTTGGATTCATTGGTGTGCTTGTCGTCTTGCAATTTTCCATATGGAGTTTCTTTAGTATCTCTCCTGCATCATTCTTTTGGCAGATAAAAAAATCATCATAACCTTGCTTGATTTCCATTCCCAAAAAGTATGACATCAGCCCCATGTCTATCATCTCAAAGACTTGCATCATTTCCTTCTTAAACTCTTCAACCAACAACACATTGTTTCCTGTCACCAAGAGATCATCAATATAAAGGGAAACAATAAGAAGATCAGTTCCTTTACGTTTGACATGAAGAGCAACTTTCAGATACACTTTGTTCAAACCCCAAACTAAACAAGTGATCATCAATCCTGCTATACCAAGCTCTTGGAGCTTATTTTAAGCCAGAAAGAGCCTTTTTAAGCGGACGTACTTATATTTTTAATTTTTTTTGGGAATCTTATAAATAGTTAATTTAGTTGACTAACTGAAATTTTACCTTATTGGTGAGAGTACGATTCCCCACCTTATATTCCCCTACCCCATTTTTTAAAAAAGAAAAGAAAAGAAATAAGAACATGTTTATTGTGTTTATGACCTACCAACAACCATTGCTTCACATATTATTGGCTTACTCTTATAATTTCACTGCCTATAAATTACCTCCATTGTGTTACTAGTTTATTCACAACTCTAAATTGCATTCTTTCTTATTATTAAAAAAAATAGTATTTCCAATCTTTTTCACTCAATAAAAGAGACTATGGCTCGCTCCATTTGCTTCATGGCATTTATGGTCTTGGCAATGATGCTCTTTGTTTCCTATGGTTTGTCTTCATCATTTGATCCTCTTAAACCTCATAAAATAAAATAATGTGTAAAATTACTCTATTTTTTGGTAAAAATATGAAGTACTTCCTCCATTCCAATTTATATGAGTTAGTTTGACTTGACACAAAGTTTAAGAAAGAAAGAAAGACTTTTGAAACTTGTAGTCTAAAATAAGTATAGCCTAAAGAATTGTGAATTATAACATGCTTTAAAGTTATTTGACAACTATGAAAAACCCTGAAATAATTTGTTTGTTTATATTTCTCTAAATATAATACGAGCAATATTTCTTTCGATTACGTCTCTCTTATTCTAACATTTGTTAATATTTGTGAATGATTGTAGAGGTGCAAGCTCAACAAATTTGCAAATCACATAGCCAAACCTTCAAAGGATTATGTTTTACCGACTCGTCATGTAGAAAAGCTTGTCTCACAGAGGAGTTTACAGATGGACATTGTAGCAAACTCCTAAGAAAGTGCCTATGCACAAAGATTTGTGTATTTGACAAAAATTCAAATGAAGTTAAAACAACTTTGGGTGGGGAAGCAAAATTTTTAAGTGAAGCTTTGCTTGAAGAAGAGATTATGATGGAGTAATAACGTGAGATTAATTAATGATTTGAGTGTCAAAAACAAAATTAATAATATGTTGCCTTTTCTTAAAAGGGTAGCTTCTAATGTTGTGTTATTGGCCTTTAGTTGCCATTTGACACAGCAAATAAGTTGTAACACATCATTAATCCAAATGGAATCTTGTATCAACTTTATGTATGTTTTAATGAAAAATGATTGACTACGATTTTTAATTTTATGTATTAGCTATGTATTATGTTTATTTGATCACTTTGTGTTACGATTCGTTTTCTGAACAAGCCAAGTTATCTAGTTTTGAACGAAATACAGAGTGATCCGAAGCAAGAGCTAGCCTTCAAATGTAGCATGAATGGTCAATTTTATTGACATGAAATATAAGCTCCTTGGTCCTTAACTTGAATGAGATAATCCATAGCTCTCTTTGTGATGATTTCACCTGGAATTAGCACTGGGATACCTGGAGGGAAAGGGCAAATAAATTCTCCACAAACTTCCCCAATACTTTTTTCAAAATTCACTTTCTTTTTCTTAGCAAAAAAGGCTTCTCTTGGCGTACAACTCATGTAAACTTCTCCAAATGGCACCCTTTCTATACCATGATCTATTTTGATAATCTCCCTTTCTTCTTGCAAGAAGTTGATTGATAAATACTTCAATCCACTAACAAGTCTTTGAGCATGTTCTTTAGTTGTTCCTAAGCTAAAGGCTAATGTGAAAGATTGAGTTCCAATAAGTTCTGGCTCAATTCCATGACTTGTTGACAATATGTTATATGCTTCGAAACCCGATAAGCCAAGTTCTTGTACACCAATTGTCATCCTCAAAGGGTCCATAAAAGAGAAGTTGTTGTAGAAACATGAGAGATCCAAAAGTGAGACTCTAGGAATGTGGTTTATTAGTTCTTTCACTTGTATGACTAGTTCCATTACTTCATTGAAAAGGGTGTTTGGATTTTTACTTAATTCATCTCTAGTTGCATCCAAGGAAGATAATAAAAGCCAATTTGGACTAGTGGTTTGTAAAGATTGAAGACATTCATGCACTCTATCTCTATCGATGCGATCCCCGGATAAGTGTAGCATTGATGATTGTGAAAATGAGCACAAAACTTTGTGTGTAGATTGTATGACAAGATCTGCTCCTTGAGAAAGAGCTGTTTTAGGTATATCAGGATGAAATTTGAAGTGAGCTCCATGAGCTTCATCCACAATTAGAGGTATCCCATGAGAATGACATATTTGAGATATCTCAGAAATATTACTGCATACTCCATTGTAAGATGGTGATGTAATAAAAACTCCTGCTGCCTTTTTGCCTTCTTGTTTTAGTTCTTCAATTGCCATTTTCACCTGAACATGGAAACAATATCTAACATATTTTTACAGCAAAATTCATTGCTAATTCTATTTAATGATGAATTGATGATGGATTAATATCATTAAATTATGTTAGTTACAAGCAATTTACGATGAGTTAGTAGCTAATTCCAGTTTCATTTATTGTTTGTAGTGAATGCATCTAATCTTCGTAAACCATATCGAGTTACTTGCAATAATGTGACACATAATAACATTCCAATTTTCGTAACATAGAAAGTTGAGTAACTAACATGCTTGCTATAATCGTTTAAAATATAATGTTATTTTATATGTATTCTGTTAAGGCTCATTGGTTTAGTGAATTTAGGACAAATCCTGCAGAGGTGCTGGTCTTGGTTTTTACACCTTTCTGAGTCGGGTGTTTCTAGGTAAAAATACCGAGTCTTTACTTTTCCGCAATTCTTAGTTGTTAACAAGGTAGAAGAAACAAGTAAAGTAACACATTCCATCACTTAGGCAAAAATTAGGCATAACTCAAGTGAGTTATTAGGACGTGGAGAATATCAGGTTTAAATATAGGCATAATACATAAACGTGCTGCTTAATTTTTCCCTCCAACTTTGAGTGTGCACAAGCAGACATTTAAACTTGTATAAAGTTGAACAAGTAATTACCTGTGAGGGGGCAGCAATATCCCATTGAAGATTATATTCAGGAAGAATGTAATTTGGTAGAGCACCACAAAGCACCATTGCTGAAGTTGCTGAAACATGTGAGTTTCTTGCAAGGATTCAAGTATCACCAGGTGAAGTTGACATAATGGCTGCTAAAATCCCACAAGTTGTCCCACAAACTAAGAACCATGTCTGAGATGCACCAAAGAGGTCAGCAGCCATATTTTGTGCATCTATAAAGGTCAAGTTGGATAACCAAATCTATCAAGCTCTGGGAGCTCAGTTGCATCATGAAGAAATGGACCAACACCGATAACATCGACTAGTGAAGATGGTGCAGAAAATGGAAAGGAGCTGAATTTTTCTTGACTGATGTTGTTATGGCATGCACTAAAGGTGGGAGTTTTGTTTCTTTTCTTTTGACTTTAGCTTGATCAAATAGGGTTGTTCCTTCCTGCTCTCTTGGTCCCATGATCAAACTATCATGCTCCTGTGAAATGTTTTTCAATTATTTTCATGTTTGGTTTGCTTAAATATTTTAGAAATTAATTTTGAAAAGAGCAACTTTCACATATAGCAAACATAAAAATCATATTTGTATGTTATAGTTATAGTTTGCATAATTGCGTTTCATAGCAAATTGTATGTTTGCTATGGAGCTTTTGATTTGTATAATTCGCTTGATACATCCAATTTTATACAAATTGTTCAGTTTTGTATAAATTCATTTATACATTGTAATTTATATAATAAGATCTGTATTTGTATAATTATAAGTATATAGGACAAAGATATATGTATTTGTATTTGTATATACACTTTTCTCTCGCTTTATACAAACACAAACACATTTTATACCGAAATGTATAAAAAAAGCTAATTGTATACCGAATCAGATGACAAAAAAATGGAATGTTTGCTGCGAATTACAAATAAAATAAACTATGGCTATAACATTTAATTTGAATTAATAGTTTGCTATTTTATACAATTTTCCCTTTTGAAAATGTACTTATGGGCGTGGTAGGTTGGGATGTGATATGTGTATTTTTATTAATTCGAAAAATGTGTTTCCTTTATTTTTTAAAGAAATTTTTTTCTTCTATTTAAAATATCTTTATTTTGTTGAATGTTTTAGTGTCATTAGTCAGCTCACATTATGAATTCTTTTCTAAAGAATACCTTAAAATAGTTGTATGATTGTATCTTGATAGGATTAATGAAATATTTGAGGCATCACTTAATTATATGTTTGTTTGGAGACTTTACCAAACATAATTTGAAAAACCCAAGAAGAATAAAAAAACAAAAACGCAAGAAAATACTAGGTTGAAACCCTACGTTTTGTTGGTTTGGTTTATATATTAAAAAATTTGACACAATTGGTTTGATTTGGTAATTGAAAAATTTGAACCAACTCGGCCAAAGTAAACCCCTAATCTAACATTGAATCAACATGTAGTTTGAGAAGAAAATAAATACTTTAAATTTTTTTGGTATTAATAGTTTATTTGACCAAACTTCTTAAATCATCTGAAGGAAAATATTTTATTTTTAAACTCAAAAGTTCTTGAATCTGACTTCATGTTCTCTATTCTGTATATTGAAATAACTAGCTAGCAACATCCCTATTTATAATAGTAAGAAACCAAATTAAACTAGAACTAGAAAACCTATTCCTATATGAACTCGGACAAATAAATCCTAACTAGACATAATTAAATAAATATAAAAAATCACAAATCCTAAACAACTTAGGATTCCTACTCCAACTTTGAATTATTATTCCAACATTCTCCCGTAATTCAAAGTTGTATACGCTTGCCTTTTTCTTCTTGTCATTGTTGTTTTATTGGAGTTCTTCTCTTCAATATTCAATTGTTAACGTTTTTCTCTTCAATTCTCATTTTTTTCTTGGTTGTATTGAAGCAATTTCTCTCCAACTTCCAAGTGTTAGAGCACTTTCTCTCTAACTCTCAATTTTTTTTCTCGGTTGTATTGAAGCATCTTCTCTCCAACACTCATGTGATAGAGCACTTTCTCTCTAACTGACAATATTTTTTTTCTTGGTTTGCAACACTTCTCTCCAACTTCCTTGTGTTGGAGCACTTTCTCTTCAACTCACAATATTTTTTTCTTGGTTGTGTTGGAGCACTTCTCTCCAACTTCCAAGATTGAAGCCCTTCCCACCAACTCTTTTTCTTTTTTGTGTTGGAGCACCCTCTCTCGAACTCTCGTTGATTCCCTTCCCACAAACTCCTTTTTGTTTGTTTGTTTTTGTTTTTGGTGTTGGGGCACTTTTTCTCTAACTCTCATTGATGCCTTTCCCATCAACTCCTTTTTTTATATTTTATTTTCTCTAACTTTTAATTTAGATAAGAGTTTATTCCTCTCTTGTGCTTGGTTGCACCTCTTTAAATCTACAATATTTTTGTAAGTCTTTCCTCCTAGCATGTTTTTCATGCATAGATCATTCGCCCTGCATTTGTCAACATAATCATTGGCCAGACGGATGATATATATGGGTCATAGCCATCTGCCGACAGCGGAAACTCTTTATCTCTACCAGAATCATTCTAACGGCTATCTCTCTATCCTAGAGTACTTTGAGAAGAAACACACAATTTTTTTCTCTAGGAGAAAGCTTGTACTATGTACAAGATGATGACTTCATCTCATTTGTCCTTAGTAGCCTTAATTCTTCATTTGTAATTTTTAAGGTTACATCTAATATGCGCCCTGGTCCTATCAATCCTGAAGAACTATTTGGACTTCTTCTCCAAGAAAAAGAACACTTAGCTAAAGAACTTTGATCTACCACCTTTAACACTCAATTTTTCTCCGCTCCTTCTCATTCTCTATTAACACATAGTTCATCCTCTCTTCAACCCTCTCCAGTCCTTAACAGAAACAAGTCATCCATTCTTGCTCCCCCCCCCCACTCTCTAATTACCTTGCCCACAATTCTCATAATGACGCTCTATATCTATGGTACCTTAACAATATTCAGAAACCTCTCAATCCAATAATCTCCCATCCAAGCATCGTGTGTAGTGTTAGATATGTGGTAAAAATAATAATGATGCTCGTAATTGCTAAAATTGCTCTAATGAAATGATTTTCCACCAACAAGGCAACCATTGTCATGGTCAACTCCAAAACAAGAACATTGTGCTTCTCCTTCAGCTATTGTTGACCCTACTTGGTACTTTGATTCAGGCGCTACACGTCATGTGACCTCAGACATGGATAATCTCTCCTTACAGTACGAAATAAAAAATGATGGTTTAACATTTGTATTGCTATGAAAAATCATATTTCACACATTCGCTCATCAAATTTGTCTATACACATGGCCCATTCGTCTTAATTAACAATATTCTTCATGACCCACATATTTCCAAGAATTTACTCAGTGTTACTAAAATAACTCGTGATAACAATGTCTATATGGAATTTCATCCTTATGTTTCTTATGTGAAAGATTCGGGGCATGAAACTACTTTGAGGAACACTTGATGATGACTTTTACCGTCTTCAACCTTCATCACCTTATTCTCAGTCTTCCCTACCTTCAATATTTTCTTAGTGAACACACTTCTCTTGTTGGTTGGAACCTTCAACTTTCTCATCCAAATGAAGCTCTTCTTCAGTGTTTTATGTCTAACTTTAGGCTAAGTATTTCTAATTGTGATTTTCCTAATGTTTGCGAACCTTGTCCACTAGGCAAGAGTCTAAACTTACCCTATTGTCATTCTCATTTTTCTAGCAGTAGTCCTTTTCAATTAACTTATTCCGATTGTTGGGACCCTCTTTAGTTATATTTTATGTCACATAAATCAAAAGTCTTACCACTTTTAGTGAATTTAAATCTTTAATTGAAACTCAGTTTGGAACCAAAATAAAATAAGTCCAAACTAACTGGGGAGGTGA